TTGTAATACTTTAATTTTGCAATACATATTATATGAAAATAATACTTTTTAATTAATTTTAACTGTGTATATATAATATCTTGGTTAATATCTCAAATAGGTAAAATGGAAAAAAAACTTATTTTGTCATTGAAGAAAAATAACAATTTATCCAAAATTAAAAAAAATGTTTATAAAAATGTATTGAATAAGTACAATAATATACAATATTTGATGTATTGTAATAATTATCGGTAGTTTTTTCCATTAAGGGGATTGGAAGCGGCGATTTTCTGTCTTTGTCTTACATACAAACAACATAGAATTATAGACGCATTTTTTATGTCAAACTTGCCAATTAATATAATGAAGCRATAAGAATTTTAAAAACAGATTTGAAATTGTCGTCAAGTCTTCTTGAAAACAACCTTCCCACATTTTTGAGTTTTTAATTTAATATTCTCCAAAAATTAAAATATGTCAATTTTTTTACTATTCTGTTTTAATGTACCGTTTTTAGTATTTCTAGGGATAATATCAAAAATGTGGGAAGGTCAATCTCAAGATGACTTTATGACAAATTCAAATTTGTTTACAGAATCCTTTTTCGCTTCATTATATCAATCTGTATGTTGGACGTAGAACACGTCTATAATCCTAAGTTGTATGTGTGTTAAACAAAGAAAGACAATTGCCGTTTCCAATCCCCTTAAATTGAAAATTTGGCTTTGGTCCAACCTGCAAAAAATTGTCTTAATATAAAGTATAAATTGTCAAAATTTTACAGGTTGTAAATTAGTGAAAAAGTATTATAATTAACGCTAACACTAAAATATAATAGCATTGTGGAAAATTTGAAACACTGGCTCCAACATCCTCAACCTAAATTTAACTTCAAATCATGCCTCATATTTAAAAAAAATGTCTATCCTTTATTCCCTCATATAAAATAACTCACACATATTCCTTATCCTTATTAAATTTCATGACCTCCCTTTTACCTAAATGCAATTTTAATAAGTCGATTATAATACTCACTTAATGACAGAMTAAAATATGTTTTCATTGACCACGTCAAAACATGTTATGAACATATATAAAAAAAAATGAAGAATTTTTGTTATATTCTTTTAAATATTAAATATCTTGCATTCATAAACACTAATATTTTTTTCATATTTCAGTTTCGATCAATCAATCAACAGACAAAGAAGAATTAAATGGTATACCAAAAAAAAATTTTATAGCACAAAGTACTTTTCTTAATCCTAGGTAAATAAACCTTAATATTTATTAACTATTATTTTATCATTAATTTAAAAATGTTTGGTTGTTTACAAAATTGAACATTATATTAGTCCAACTTCAAAACCATTGAATGGACCTTTAATAAATATCACAATGAAGGATTCAGGACCACAGCATTTTGTAAAGGTTTGTGACATTTAATTCACTCAAGTTTAAAATCTGTGTTATGGTTAATTGGTTCCACTTTTATAATTTATTTTATATTAACTAACATATTTTTGCTTTAACTATTAACACAATTATTACACTAATTCAAAATTTAAATTTTGTAAGAAAAAAAAGATTATTCAGAAGAAATTATTATTTTTAAATTTGTTCTTATGTTTACTAACATTATATTTTTTTTAAATTATGTTAGATAATATTTAATTAGTTATAACTATTATATGTATTTTACGTTTGTATAAATTGAGTAGAATACCTCCCAATATGATTGCCTGCTACTCTGCTAATCTAAACTTTAAATCATAGAATAAATATACTTAATAGTATATTAGTAAGTTTTATCTACAGTGAAAAAAATACATTTTCCATGTATGTTGACTAAATGAGATAAGTGAGAGCAGATACTTTATAACAGCAAAACAATACTAGAAAATATATAACATTCGCATATTGTATTCGTATAATTGTTTACCTTAATTTTCCTTTACAGAATATGGATATAATAATTGAATGTTTAATTTTTAGGCTGGTTGGTCCTCCTCGAGATCATCTTATGTATCTAAAAATTGCAATGGCAGAATAATTGAAAAAGAAACCCGCACTAATCAATTACAAGATGGAATTACTGAAACAGTAATTATTATGAAAGATGGAAATAAAAAATGTGTAGAAACAATATCGGAAAATCCAAAAACTGGTGAAAAAATTGAAAATCTACAATTATCCAACTTGGATCAAAGTAATTTTTAATACAACAATAACTAGTTATACCATATAGGATATAAGTTACTAATTAATTTCACTCTTTCTTATTTATTAAAATATAGATGAATTGAATGAATTCAAAAATCAATTTTCAAAATTCTAATAGCATTAATAAATTTGTCAATGGATAGACACAAATATTGGTGATTTACTGGTGTAAATATTTATTATATCCCAGACCGCCGTGGTCAAAAACAGGATTGAATCATAGATTTGAGAAAAATATCATTTTTTTATTAACATAATATCTATAGTAGTAGATTAAATTACTATAATTGTTAACTGTTGAAAATTAAAATATATGATTGTCAGAAATTAAATATTTGTTTGTGCATTTTTTGTTGATTTTGCTACATTTCAATATAAATAAATTAATAATAAATTTGATTCCAAATTAATTTCTAACACAAACTCCTTTAATAACAAATATAGTCTTCCTTTCTATTCTTGATAACTCCTTAATTTATTAAAAATTTAATTTATTTTTATTTTTACTAGTAATATACAATCTGTATCATTATACAATAAGAATATACGCTTAGAGTATAATTGACGGGAGCATTATTATGATGGAAGGAGCCACCCAATAATGATACTTTCTAATTTATTAAAATTAAACAAATAAAATATAACTTATTTAATAAGATACTGTCAATAATTAAATTAAATTGGCAACTTTTTCATCAGGTGAGTTGTTCTGGCACTCGTAATCATTACACCCTCTATACAATTTAATTTAATAAAATATAAAATATTCAATTTGTATTCATTAATACCCCTTCCYTTGAACATAAATAAAATTAATTTGTCTGGGTGTTGTACTGCTGTATATCCTTTAAAAATTACTAATATAATTGAATTTGTTTTACAAGAAATAAAATATATTTATTATTAAACGTCAGATACACTACTGGTTACTGGGTCTAACATCTATGAGTTGGAGTATATCGGTAAATTAAATTCTAATTAATATACTGTCCCAGAACTACTAAAATTTTCCATTTGATAAATCCTATACAAATAAATAACAATACCATAATGTTTAATTATACCACAATTACAATTTATACATTCTTTGTACATTAAGAAATCAATACGGTGTAGACATATATAAAAATGAAGTAATATGGGATTTAATTGTTTATTATGATTGTAATACCTTTGTATTCACAATTTTATATGACAAACCTGCATCAGTTAAAAATTTAAAAATAAACATACCTATTTACTCTATTTAGTTGAATCTGAACACATAGTTTTTGCCCTCACAACTATAAGAGAGACACAATATGCTTGTCATATACCAGTTGGCATTTATACCGATTGCCGACAGAACATTCACAGTTAAATATCTTAAGCAGCTACTTAGCTACTTCAAAACGAAAAACATTTCTCCACAAATCACAGACTTAATGGCTTAAATTTGTTTACTTCAAAAATTGTTTTAAATCATCTATAACAACTTTAAATGCATATTTACTTAACAAACAATGTGAACATTGTGAACTAGAAAGAAAAATATTGTTACATAAATTGAGTTAAGCAAATTACAGCATATCAGAATTTGCCTATGAAATGGGCAAAGGTCCTAGTTTCACAGTCATATTAATGCTAGTGAAGACAGTGAAGTAATATATTTAATAAAATGCAAAGCGGTATAGGTTAAAATTCTATACAAAGATGTTCGTTATAAATATTATAATGAACTACATTGGACATTTAATAATCAATCAATCATATTTCATCGCACCAAAAACAAGGACTCTGGCAGAAATATAGTACAGGGATAGATTGCAATCATCTAGCTATTACCATTTGCATTTTATCTTGACGGAGATTGGGTTTCAATAACGTCAAAAATAAATGAAATCAAAACCCTTAAACCATTAACGGAATGGACTTGGACTTACAAACGCCGTTAGCATTTAATGACAGCAGTAATTTATACTTCAAATACAATGAATGCCTTCCAACAGTATTTAGGGCTATCAAACGACTGAGAACATTATACCTTTTTGACCGAACAAATGAGAATACTTAAAAATAACAAAGAACTTACCGCTGACCACAAAAAAACCCAAAAAAGGATACGATCGAGAACGAATTTACGTGCAACGTTGCAATATCATTTAACAAATATTCTTGAAGTAAATCATATGTAATATAAATATGTTTAAAAATGAAAAAAATTTAGAATTATAAGACTATGTATTATATATGTAAAAAAAAGTAAAACATGTAGATTATAAAAATATGTATAAAAAATGTAATAAATATGTTATGAGTTTATGACAAATGAGTTACCTATGAATTAGTTAAAACGGGATAGCATAATCCAACATACTCTAGATATTTTAATAAATTATTAGAACTTTTATTTGCTACATACCACATATATTCATTATGAATATTAATTAATTTTTCCTTTTGTTACCCTGTTCCTGTTATTTTTAACGAATACTTCGTTGACGTTTGTGCGACGGCTAAAACGCCTATTAACGTCATTTTCTTGTATATCTGGTATAAAAGTTACAAATAACATACAGTTAATTCGATAAACGTCCGATAAATATTAAAAATCAACTGTATTAGTCGTTTAGTCAAAAAGTTATAACGTTCTTAATCGTTCGATAGACATAGTCGATTTTTGTTTTCGTATGGCGCTATGTCCAGGAGTAGGCCCGAAGGCCATAGTCGATTATCATGCTCAAATTATTGTTCGATAAAATTTGGCAACGTTGAAAATAAAATAAAAATATCAATCGTGTTACCAAAAATAACGTTCTCAATCGTATTTTACCAGTATTTAGAATTATTACAGGAAATGGAGAACACGACGTAAAATAAAATCTTGCAAGACAAACCATAGGCCTGTCAGTAATAGATCAGAGTTTAAATTTAAAAACCTTAATTGACAAAAACACCGTTAGTAAACAGATAGATAACAACTTAAAAAATATGTGGAATTGATTTGGTAAATTTGTCTTTGGTCTGTTAGGGATATTTTACACTTGGAGAATATAATATTGACATGTTTTAACACAGGCTTAAACAAATCTCTATAATATGAGACATTTGGACAGAGCTTGAAATTAGTGGCAGACATTTTCTCCACCATCACCCATCATAGGCGKAGCCAGGGGGTGTGAAGGGTATGCTGTGGCAACCCCTAAACGCACAGACAATTTAGTGTGGAGTTCAAACATTGTATGATATTGTGATTGGCATTATATATAATYATTATTGTGATGTAATATTATGAATATAATAAAGTATAGTATAATTTTTTTTTTTTTTTGGAGGGAGAGGAACAAAAATATTTGCACCCCCTGAACGTGAAGGCTGGCTCCACTTATGTCACCCATTATACCTATAATGCACAACAACAAGAAAACGAAGAACAACAACAATCATTATTAAATAATGACAGAAAACAATTTCAGAGAATACAAATTCAAGCTTACAATGAATATAACGGATCAACATTGGTAATATTTTTTGTAACCAGTATAACAACCGCGTGGTGAATGGCGCACTATGCGTGCTTACTGCCTAGCGAACAACATTCGAACTTTTGATAATATTAACTACAGGAGTCAGCAACCTTTTTACCTACACGGTCCATAACTTGTTTCAGTTTTTCTTTGAGGGTCGCATACATATAAATACATATAAATCTGGCGGTTACAGTTGGCGAGAGGTTGGTAACTCATCATGTACGCCTCCCGAGGCTATGCGACTATGAGATCCTCATTTCCATTTTTTGACATACGAAAATTTGTGTATTGGAATTTTTGCTCATAAATATTGAGTTGGGCGAAATCAGTTTTACTCAAATTCAAACAAGTTATAAATATACATTTTCGTCAGATATACATATAGGTTAGAATAATATCTAGGAGTATATTACCTAAAAAAACAGTAAAATAATGTAATAATAAATAATATAATTTAAAAATGTGTATACTTACTCAACAATTTTGTAATCATTTATAATTTGATAATTATTCTAATAAATTCATCATTATTGTCATGAATATCTTAACAAAATATACTGATAATAAATAATATGTGTTTGGCTCCACACAAGTAATTTCCTAACCGGTATTAGTAAGGCACTATAAATGCACTATACTATAAACTTTTATAGTGCTCTAGTATTAGTTGGCACGTATCAAATTAATATAAGTATTAAAGATCTGGATGGGCCATTCCTATTGGCTTATATTATACCATAATTATACGAAATGCTGTATGACGGAAGAGAACGCTGGCTACCAAGGTGGTTATAAGCCCATGAGCGGACCCGGCATGATTAGGTGTTCGTTTCCAGTCCATACTCAAGGTTAATATTAACCTTGGTCCATACTATCTTAGTCCGTGATTACGACATCGTTTCCAACCAACACATAGAGTTGTTGTGGAGTTGAGTTTAGAGCATTACTCTATGAGCCTTAGATCATATGATCTATATCTATATGATCTAAGCTATGAGCCAACACCACCCATAGATAACATAACACATAACCACCCACTCACAGCGAGTTTCACGGGCCTTCGAGTTTCCGAGTTTTATTRCTCTAAGGATGGCAGCCAGTACATATTATTATCATATAGCATACTATTTCATATTTGCATAGAACAGTATTTGCCATTTGCCAATCAAGAAAATGGCGAAACCCGGCTTCAATTAAATATACCCAGACTCCAGAGTTACTTTTACCATTGATACTTAATCAATGCTTTTACTTATCTATTTAATATAGAAATCTTTGACTGATACCATAGAGTAATATAGAGAGGGC